AATTTGGCATATTTTACTATATCTATGTTTCCATTCGTAGTTCAGATCATAAATTATCAAGATAATACAACTTTAATGTCAACTAACAAAATGTGCTGATAACTAAGGACTGCTACTAGTCCACCTCAGATATTAGGAACCAACGACTTCCCCCGTTAAAACTCTTTGTTAATGAGTTCTGTCGTGTGAGACGAAACTAGATTAACATAACATTGTTAAAGTTCTACATTACATATTAGGAACCAATTCGGGTGAAGTTCCAAGCATAAATTCTTGCGTCCATAACTGTTACGACTTACCTACAGTTGTTTGTTGATCACAACTAGGAGCAGCAAACGGGCAAGTCAAGTCGATATGGTTCAGGTTAAAACGGATAATAAAAAACGGATCAATTATCCGACCTAACTCATATTTTATACAGACAAAAAAACAAATTAACCGATAAATAATACAGATTATCATATTATGCATGACTTCTTGTATATGATCACTTTTGGAAAAATTCTTACTCTCTAACTTGAGAAACCCCAATTTGAGGCTTTACAAATTTAAAAGTTAGACCCAGTGGTTATCTATTAATTACTCATTTGTTATCCATATTTGACCTATTTTTAAAAAATTCATTATCCACCCCATTTTTTAGTGGATAATATAGGTGGTTAACTATTTTTTTTTTAACATTTTGCCACCCCTGATCACAACGATCAAACAATAAATCAATCCCATATGTATACTTCTACAAAAAAGTTTCTTTTTCTATTTTTGTCTTGTTATTCAATTCAGAGAAAGTCCAAATTACTAAACGTAAAGTTTAAATTAATTACAACAATTTTGAATGGGGTAATTGTTTTTGACACTGTTATTTATAAAAAAATAGAACAAAACATGAAAAATTCTTTTGAAGCTATTAAACTTAATTTAGTTGGAAGATCGGGATGACAGGCGTAAAATCAAATTTTTGATATCTAGACTCTACAAGTAACCAGATATTCTCGCGCTTGTTGATAAAATAAAACCGAAGTTGACATTGTGAGGGAATAAAAATGAAAAAGATGCAAGAATGCTCCCTCAGATAATCATAACATAAATTCTCTTCAGAAACAAATTTCGGAATTAGCATGGTCAATCTTATATCATCATAGGGAACGCCAATTTTCCAGATTTAGCACACACACCAAAAAAAAAATTGTAAATCACAAAAGAAAATTGTTAAAAATTTAATCTTGATTTTGAATGAAGAGAAAATTAAAGAAAAAAGAAGGGCGAAGCTCAGATGTATGTGTTGGAAACGGAGTATATTCCCGGACCTTAACAAATAAGATCTCATAATGAGCTGGGAAATGTTATCATCATTGCAATCGCCCTCTATGTTACACAATAGAACAAAATTTGAAACAAAATAAACCAAACAGAACTAACTAGAAGTGGAAGGAAAAAGGATACAGGGAAACTATCTCAGTGAGATGCAGATGGTTGAAGCTAGGAGGAGGCAACTGGTTTAAATAGATTAGGGCTAGGGTTTCTGCAGCGGCTGATGTTCCCCGGTGGGGGCCTTTTACTGTACGGGCTCCCGAGATAGCAGAGGCCCATTTAGTCTAAAGTTGGGCCTGACTTACTTATTTCTGATAGGAATTTTTACATACCTATAGGTCGTTTAAGGCTGTAGAAATGACACCAGGTAGTCACGCTAAAGGGCTGCTATTTAGAATTTAGCTAATAAGTTTTGAATTTCAGTTTTTCAATTCAATTTTTTGGACAAAAGTATAGCATCCCTGAGAATGACTATCCACTTGCCCCTTATCGGCTTTGACGAGAGTGACATATCCCTAAATATAGCAAGACAGTTTTAATTACAATAACAACAAAAAACCCAGTTTGATCTCAACATGTGGGGTCAGGGGAGAATAGTCTGTACAGATTTAATTTTGAAGTATAAATCAAAATTATAGTTGAGCTCTTATTTATTCATTTTCAACACTCGGGAGCATCTTATTTCAAATCAAATAACATTCACATTTGACATTATGCCATTTGAGATTCCTCGTCAAGTCAAATTCCTTTATCTAAATTGACTTTATCATAGTAAAACTGCACAAAATAGCGAGAGCTATAAGGAATAACGGATCAAAGCCATAATTTGATTAATTATCTCAAAGCACCCCCTCTTAATAGAACTAAAGTATTAATTATGTCAGTCTAAAAATAAAAAATATTATCAATCTCAAATTGTTTTTTACTTTTTGCATAGCATTGCTGTCTGCTCATTCGAACAAATTATGAAATGAATGGACATAAATTAATTCAGCTTGTATTTTACTTTTTGCATAGCACCTCTCCTTATTTCATTTTGGTACCTTTAAGCTTTCTTTTGCACAACTTTTTGTTTCAAGGTTTCATACAAACTTTTTTCACATGTTGTTCTTTTATTAATGTCAGGCCTAGATAATTCGATTATTTTTATTTAATACACAAATTGTTAAGTGTTAAGCACGTTTCCTGAAATCAACGGAGGAATCCATAATAGAGGAGCATAATATATTCAACATTGATCATTTGATATTCATTTGGGAGTCTATAAATTAGTAAGAAATGGACTCGTCTCCTTCGAACTCACGAAATTCCATGGGTCTAAAACATCACAAAATGGATCTCAAACTCTAGGACGAACTTCACCCAAATAATTTCATCAATATTAATAACAACCATTCAATTCTTTTCACCAATATACATCAACTCAAACAAAAAAAATTTAGAATAGGCTCCAAACCTCAACTAAACCATACTCATAACTTCAATCATGAGATAACTTCGACAAAAAACAAGAACCTGGATCTCTCGATTTCACCTTACCAAATTCGTTCCCAAACACTTGCAAACTAGTCCCAAACGAATCAAATCTCTAGATTAAAACTTCTTGGATTGTTATCAACTAATTTCAACAACATCCATTCGACTTTGAGCATGATTCTTTCACAAAAAAATCAGATTTGAAAAGTTTCCAACTCCCCCAGTCTAAGTTTTTATTTGGATATCAAAATGTTAACTTCATAACAAACCTAGAAGAGGTGGCGAGTGAAGATGGGTGGAATCAAAATCTGTTTAGCGTGAAATTTTTATTTTAAAAGATACTTACTATACAATATGGGTCCAATCGGGTAACATCCCAAAATACGAGGGCATTTATATCTATACCAGCTTTTTGGGTCACGTTTTAATTTGTGTTTGCTTTGCAAAAAAAATTGTAAGCGTACCCACTTTTTCGCGTAACTTCAGCATACGGGGTTGAAATAGCAAAGGCAATCACACAAAACTTCAGCATTCTAGTAGACGAGCCTGAAGTAGCAAAAATTGCTGAACCAAGTGTGCTGAAATTTTTGTTTGTAATTGCTGAACTTAAGCATAACAGCTGATGTTTTGTTCTCTATTTGCTGAAGTTTTTGTTTGTAATTGCTGAACTTAAGCATAGTAGCAAAAATTGTTGAACCAAGTGTGCTGAAGTTTTTGTTTGTAATTGCTGAACTTAAGCATAGTAGCTGAAGTTTTGTTCTCTATTTGCTGAACTTAAGCATGTTTTAGCTGAACTTTTGTTCTATATTTGCTGAACTTCAGCATGTTTTAGCTAAAATTTTGTTCTATATTTGCTGAACTTCAGCATGTTTTATGCTATCATGTAATTGATTTTTTGTACAGATAATAAGTTTATCATAAGTAGAATTAGTAATTGAAAACTAGATAATGATTTAGCACAACATGTTAAAATGCATTGATAATGTACAAAGCTGAATCCAAAAAAATAATAGAATATGAATTAAAAGAAATGAACTTATATTTACATATATGTACGTACTTAATTTAGAAAGTTATTTGTAATTTATTTTTAAATAATCTGATAACTCTGTCCCTCGGGGTAGAGGTAAGGTCTGCGTACATATTACCCTCCCCAGACCCCACTTGTGGGATTACACTGGGTTGTTATTGTTGTTGTTGTTGTTGTTGTTGTAAACATACTTATGGCAACATCATCCCCATGAACTGAAGTTTCATAGCAGCACTAACAGCAGCAGAAGAAAGAAGAAGAAGAAGAAGAAGAAGAAAACGAAGGAGGAGAAGGAGGAGGAGAAAGTGGGCTGAAGTTGTTTAAAAAGTGGGTACAAGTTAAAACTTTTTTAAGAAATGAGTATAGGTTAAATGGGGACGACCAAATAGGGCGCCCCGTGCAATTTTTACCAAAATATATGCTCATTTGGGTTGTACGGCTGAGTTGGGTGATATATTAAGAAAATAGTACTTTCTTCATTTTAATTTATGTGAACCTATTTTAACGGAACATGGAGTTTAAAAAAAATAAGACTTTTGGAATTAGTGACTCAAAAATAAGACACAAATATTTGTGTGACTATAAATTATTTTATTAAAGGTAAAATAATAAGTTTAAAATAAATTATTTTCAAATTTACAACGTAATCTTTCTTTTAGAAACATACTAAAAAATAATTCACATAAAAAACGGAAGGAGTAGTAATACAGTAAGAAGGAATTGAATGCGATAGTTAAATTATGTACCAATAACATCAGTCTAGTCAGAGAGCACTTTCTGTAACATTCACATCCGAAATAGTGCTCGTGCAAAAATGCGTTTACACAAATTGGATTGACTTTTAACCAGGTCAGCTTTTAAACTTTTTTTTTAGTTTTTTTATTGTTTGATAAAGTTAAAAAGTGCTTAAAATAAATTAAAAATTGCTTAAAATAAGCCAAAAACAATAACTTTTTGGGCAACATCAACTTATTACTTTTTGGCTTTTGGCTTAAAAGCTATTTGTACTGAAAACCAATTTTTTTTAAGCCAATCCAAACGGGCTCGTAATCCACCCATAAACCAAAAAAAAAAAAAAA